ACAGCATTCCAAACAGTTGATCGAAATAAAAAAAAAAAAACGGAAAGAAATGTGAATAAAAAAATCTGCTGCATAAATTTTGGAAATTAATCAACCGATCAGTAGATGTATCAGTCAGACTTTATGCAATATCGATGGTGCATCTTCGACGGTAGCTATAAACTACCAACTTGTGGGAACATAACCATCAACCTAAAAATAATATCAGGTTAGAAAAATTAATCAAAAAAAAATTTTAGACTAATAGTCTGAGAAAGAAATTAAAAATCTTGAAAAAACAGAGTAAATTTGGAAGAATTTCTGTCCACCTTCAATGACCGTTGTTTTGGTGTATTTGAGTGATTAGCGTTGTTGCCTCTATCTGTTTCCGTTGAAAACTTATTTTATTCAGAAGCCATAAATTTGTTTTTGTCAAATTTTTTCAATGATGGTGAAGAATATAATTTACAAAAAAAAAAAAAAAAAAGTGAGTGAAGATTAAAGAAAAAAATCAAAATTATTGGACAAATGATTTTGATATTAATTTTGAAAAAAAAATTTCCCCTTTCCCTTTCGTCCACTTTTGTCCATTTTTTATTTCTTCTTCTTCACAACATTCTAATACCAATTTCTTTAATTCAGCGTTTATTTGAGTTTGAAACAATAAAAAAAATATCACGCTTTTTTACTTTTCTTCTTCACAAAACATACAAAAACAGGACTCAACAAATTCCAGATAACTATAACCCTATGATGAAACTGGTCCGTCTGATTCACACGGACAACTAAGGAACGTTCAAACCATCAACCGTAACAGAGAGAATGGTGGCGACAACAACAATTCATAGAATAGCAACAATTTTATTAAACTTATCATTTCCATAAATAAGTAAATAAATGATTAAATGAGTATTCTGTTAGCAACAAAAACCGGTCTTCGTATCAGCAAAAATTTTTAAGGACCATAATTTATAGCGTGCAAAAAAAAGAACTGGCAAAATGAACGCTAACAAAACTGCTTTATTAAACTATACTATCGTATATCAAAAAGAAGGAAAAAAAAGCCTCAGATAACAAACTAAACAAAAAAGATGACGTGATTTTAAGATTACCGATTAATCTATGAAAAATAAAACTGCAAACTTTTGGTTTCCAAAAATAGAGCAACAATTGGTGCTCGTATGACGACATATAGAAGATAATTGCCAATTTTATAATGACATATTCTTTTCTAAGATAACTAAAGAAAATAAAAAAAATAATACACTTATAAAAAGTAAAACAAAAAAAACTATTGAACAACAATTTGTCACGCTAATTCAACATCGACAAAAAGATATATGATAATTTTACAGGTGATTAATACACCATAAACTTCATGCAGTTCCACCCATCAAAGAAATGTGCCTCAATTTTTTGGTTATCTTTACTCTGCTTAGCCGTACTAAAGAAAAAAAAAAAGACATGTCCACTGCATATCACTGAAGTGTTTTTCTTTCTCTCTCTCTCCTTTTTTTTTTTTTTCTTTCATCTTTCAATCGACTACTGACACTTTTTTGTTTCCGTTTCTTAAA